ATAGGCCCCCTACCAGCTCCAGGGCAGAGCTTCCCATCCATCCTACTGTGTGGGAATGTCCCATTCCAGGACTCCTGTAGTGAAGTGCTGAGTTCCCCGGGAGCCCGGCTGCAGGCAGGGACAGATCCCTGCCAGGGAAGGGCAGGAGGGCACAGAGAAGGGCAGGAGGGCACAGACAAAGGCACTGTGCTCTACCAGCCAGAGCTGGGACCTGTGTCAAATGTCACTGCCCTTTCCCTTTGAAAAAGGGGAAAAGGTGGAGTTTTACTCCTTCCTCCCTCTCCAGTCCAAGAGACTGGGAGGAAGCTCTGCTCTGCCCCTTCCTCCCCTCCTGGCCCCCGGCACTGGGCTCTCCATGGAGCCAGTGCAGCACATCCAGGCACTGGACAAGGCTCCAGGGCCAGCCAGGGGCTGGGAGGGGACACAGCTCCTGCTTGGGGACCTCATTGCCAGGCACCAGCCGGGTTCCAGGAGCTGCAGCCCCAGGGTGAGGTGACACCTCCTACAAACTGGGTGGTGGGGTCAGACCTGGGAGCTGCAGGGGCAGAGAGGGTGCTCAGCCTTGTCGTGGAGAGCTGATCCTCACCTCTCTTCACATCACAGCAACTGCCTGTGGATCAGCATCCTTGGATCCCTCCAGGTGTTATTCCTGCTGGAAAGCTTGGAGACACGGGAGCCTGTCCATCCAAGGAGGGTGGGACAGAGCTGGCAAGGGCTGTGCCAAGAGGCACTGAGCCCCTCTGAGCCGAGCCAGCCTCTGCAGTGATTTGAGGGAAGCAGGGAGGCAAAGGCTTGGGAAATCCCAGCTCCTGGCTGTGCTTCCCTTGCTGGGTCCCTGCAGTGGGTTTAGGGGTGTCTGACACTGCCATGGGGCTCTCCTGCTCTGTGGGTGCTTCTCTCTCCCTGGCCTGAGCCAGGAGCCCAAAAAGAGCTCTCAGCTGCAGTGCCAGCTCTGCTCCTCCCGTCCCAGGCAGAGCAGGGATACCCTCCGTGCCTGCCCCAGCTTGCCCGAGGCAAGGCCTCTGGATAAACCCTCGCTGGGGGAGGCAGGGAAAGCCCTCCCAGAGGGAAGGCAGGCTCTGACCCCGGGGCTGAGCACGGGCAGGGCAGGGAGGGCTCCTATTGCCTGCACACGTGGGGAGGCCACCAGAACAATGTCCCCTTGCCTCAACACGCTGGCTCTGAGAGCCCCGTGCCCCGACACGACGGCTGCAGGTAAAGCCCCGGCTTGCCAGAACCAGCCCCTCCCGCTGGCAGGGAGCCCTGACATGCCAGGGGAGTTCTTTATTTCACCATGAAAGAAGACACACATTTCGTGAAGAGAAACCACTCCAGGTCTCCGGCGCGATCCCTCGGAGCCTCCCTGCACCGCCTCCCCCGGGGGCAGGGCGAGGTTTCAGCCTCCAGACCCACCCCAGAGCCCAGCGCCGGCAGCCTCCGCCTCCCACGCCGGCTGGAGCTGTGGCCAAGGCCGGGAAATGAGTGGCACGCTCAGGGAAGCCACAGCAAACCTCTCCCCGCTGCCAGCAGCCTCCATCCCTGTGGCACACCACAGCTCGGCACCTCCTGGCATTTGCCGGGCACCTCTGGATCGGATCCCGCAGCCCATCCCAGCAGCACCCAGGCAGGAGGAGGGCGCTCCTGGGTGGGATCAGGGATGTGCATGCCTGACAAGGCTCGTTGGAGCGGAAATGCCGCAGGACCAGCCCCGGGGACGAGGCTCAGTGTCACCTCTGCCACCACCGCGTGGGCTGCTGGCTGTGGAAGTCCCACCCCAAAATTAACAGCTGCTTTACTCTGTAATTAACGGGCTGGCGACTCCCCGGAGATGCCAGAACAAGGTGTGAGCTCCCAGGGACCCTCCCTGTGCTGCCACCCACCCCCACATCCCTCTGGCCACGGAGCCATCCGGCAGCTCCTGCTGCATCCCTGGGCTCTCACACCCACCAGGTGCCCAGGACAGAGCCACCCGGGTCCTGCCAGTCCTGCTTCACCTCATCCCCCTGGAGAAGGGGTCCGTGGGGCTGGGATGCCCTAGGGATGGAGTTAGTCCAGCTTCATCCAGTTTCATGCTGAGAGCACTGGGAGGAGGGAGCACTGTCTCTTCCCTGGACAGGAGGGGACACTGTGCAAAAATCCAGGTCACCCCATGACATCTCAGCTTTCCCAGGAACCCTGAGCTGATGTCCCCAGGTGATGGTGCCCATGCAGAGCCATTCCCTGCTCCAGCCCACACAGCAGGTTGGAAGTGATTCCCAGCCCCCATTTGGGAGGAAGAGGAGGAGGAGGAGGAGGAGGAGGAGGAGGAGGGCAGCTGAAGGGTGTTGACAAACAAACTGGACGACTCAGGCTGGGAAGATGTCCAAAGCAGGGAGGTAGAAGGAAACACTGGTCATAGAGAGACCTTGGAGAACGGGAAACAGGAGCTGCAGGCAGCTCTGCCAGAACCATCCAGGTGGAGATCACACCCGGCTGCCCCAACAGCCCCAGCACAGAGCAGCATCCCTGCTGCCTCCACGCCTGCTTGGAGGGATCCAGTCCCACCAGTGGGAGGAAAGACCCTGGTCCTGAGCCACCAACACACCAGTTACACATGTGTGGCCCACGACTTCTGGGAGTCATTGGCATCAGCCACCAGCACAGGGGCTGGGACAGGGCATGGGACCTTCCCAGCTTGGATCTGCTGGGAGGGCTTTTCCCACCTCCCTCCTGCCTTTAATCCAGCTGCAGTGCTGAGAGCTCCATTCCCAGGAGGGAGAAAGGTCTGGCCCAGGTTCTCCCCAGAATTCTGGGGGCTCCAACCTCGGGAAGCATCACCAACCCCAGAGAGCTCCCTCCAGCAATCAGGGGCCACGGCAGCCCGGGCAGCACATCCAAACTCCCCCAAATTGGGAGGGCAACTGGGAAAAGTTGCTTGGAGAGGGGCTGGATCGCTCCCTGGGCGCCAGCTGGAGCTGCAGCAGTGGAGAACAGGCTGATCTAGGCAGGAAAACCTGGAGTTTTCCCCGCCACGTTGCTTTGCATGCCTGACAGCAAGTCGTGCCTTGCCTGTTGGGTTACGGCCCCTCCCAGCTCCAGGGGCTCCTCACCCAGAGAGCTGAGAGGTGCTCCAGGAACCCAGTTTGCTCCAGTCTCTCCCAGGGAGGTGTCCCAGTACAGGTGCGTGTCCCCCTTGCTCGCTCCAAACCTTCAGGGCTGCAGCGTGGCACAGGACACGTCCCAGCCCAATCTCCATCATCCTATTCCACAGCAATCTTTCTCCCATTAAATCTTTTTCCCATTAAACCTTTTTCCCACTTTTTCCACTTTTCGGCCCCCCTGCCCATGGGCTGAAACCCGTCCTGAGGTAACAGCCAGGGTTCAACCCTGCCAGGGTTCAGCCATTCAGCCTGGCCTTGCAAACACCCAATTCCTGACCCAGCAGAGTCAGATTCCTGCACAGAAAACCCAGACGGGGCTTTTCCTTGTTATTCTTCAGGATTAGGATCACAGGGCTCGCACAGGGAGCCATCTCTGCACAGAGAACCGGCAAGTTAAAGGGAAATTCGGGATGTGCTTTGGATCCAAACACGCTGCTGCCGTGGGCAGCCCCGGCCCGGCGCAGCCTCACAGACAAGCCGTGTTTTGAGCTTTAACTAATGCAAGGAGAAAACCCCAGAGCGAGTTCCAAGCTCTCCTTCAAAGCTCAAAAACCTGCTGGCGTCCTGCTGAGCCGCATACCACGTAAGCATTCCTGCCAGGAACGGCGGGGGGCTGGCAGGGCCGATGGGATCCGCCGAGAGACACCGGGCGCCTGTGCCAGTCCCACGGCAGCTCCACCACTCTGCTCCAGCAGCAGCAGCAGCAGCTTTTCCCCCACAGCCCTTGGGGACAAAAGGACTCCAGAGCCACTCCCGTGGCTTTATGGCCGAGACAGAGCAATGATACGGTGGAGCCACCTCCAAAACACCGGCGCTCCCGAGGCTTTGAGCTCCCGGCGAGACGCACAAGGTCCAGCACGGAGCCACACTCGGTGCTGGCACCCGCCTCAGGTGTGGCTCCGCGGGGTGGGCAGGGGGCTTCACCCACTGCACATGAGGGGGTTTTCCAGCCCGGGGAGCTGAAAGCAAAGCCGGAGCATGAAAGGGCTCGGAGGTCACGTCCTGCCCGCTCGGGAGCCCCGGGAGCCAAGCGCCTGCACCGCCAGTGACGCGAGGTGGCTCGGGGGAGCCCGGCACCGCGACAGAGGGGTGACCCCACTTACAGGGGTCAAGCGAGTCCCCGCAGGCCCCAATTAGCATCTCTGACCCCCTCCCTCTCCAGCAGTTGCTTCGAACAACCCCTGCCTGTGCAGAGCCATAATCCCACGTCCCGCGGTTCCCAGGCGGTTCTGGCCAGACATCCCGTGCCAGGGGCGAGGCGCTGCCGCCCCGGGACAGACGGGCTCTCAATAACCACATTGTCACCCTGCCCCGTCCCACGGCCGTGGCGGGGGCACTGCTGTGTCCTGCCTGTGCCGGGAAGGCTGAGGGCAACCAGTCCTTCCCTCCACCCCAGAACCTTTGGCGGGGGGGCTTCCCTAAGGATCTCCCAGCACTGTAAAGGCGGAGAAGACTCAGTTGCCAGCCAGCCCGGGGCTGCGCCGTGCTGACAGCAATGTTCCTGACCGGACTCGGCTTCCAGCATCCCCCGAAGAGCTCCCCTTTTCCCTCCCCGCATCCCGGGGGGGCTTCGCGCACAGACCCGGCCCCCAGAGCGAACACAAACACCCCCGGCACAGCCCAGCTCTTCACTTGGGAGCCAGGCGGGTACCTCGGGCACCGTCGCTGAGCCCCCCGGGCTGTGCCCGAGCAAAACCACGCGGAAACGGGGAAAATAAAGAAGTTTGAAGAGCGAGAGAGGGGACGAGCAGGAGGAGGGGTCCCGGGAATATTGTTGGGGGGGTTCCCAAAGGGACTGAAGGAGGGATGGGGAGAGCGCGGCGGGGATAAAAGGGGAGCGGGGGCGCGGCGGGGGCTCACCCGCGATGTGCTGGCGGCGACCCTCGTCCAGGTGCGTGGAGACCACATCTCCCATGGCGAGCGGAGCCGGGCCGGGCCGGGCGGCGGGAGGAGGAGGGAAGAGGGAAGAGGGGGGAGGAGGAGGAGGAGGAGGAGGAGGAAGGCAGCGCCCGGGGCGGCCCGGCAGCGCGGCGCCCCACGGCCCCCCCGGCCACTCCCCCCGCACCGCCCCGCGTCCCGCCCGCCGCCCCCGGCACCGGCGCTGGGAGGGCGCGGGGGTCCCCCCGCCGGGTAATTAGCCGCTCTAATTGCTCGCTGGGGGATGGGGAGTCTGGAGGGGGGGGAATGTGTCGTGTCCTCTCCCCCGGACCCGCACAGCCCCGCGTGTCCCCCCGCACACCCGCGGGTCCCACGGCGGGTCCCACGGCGGGCGCTGCCGCCGGGAAAACCGGCTCCGTGTTGGCACCGGGATCCTCCACTCCCGGCATTGCAACACCCGGGCTCTGTCCTACCTGTGCCCACACCCCGGGCCTCCTGCCCTGACCTTGCTCCTGCAGTGCCAAGGTGGAAAAGCAGCCGTGGGAGCCGGCGCGGGGCCCCCGTCCCTCCCCAGCCTGTGGGAAAATGGGATGGAAGAACTCAAGTTGACTTAAAACCCTCCCCGGCCACAGATTTAGGACCAGGAGCTGTTTGGCTCCGCTGTGCCGGGATGGGGGCTGGCATCTCCCCAGGATCACCGACCCAGCAAAGTCTCCTCGGACACACCGAGCCGAGGCAGGAAGCAGCCGGAGCTGCGGAGCTGGAGGAAGCGGTGGAAAAGCTCCACCTTCCTCCCGCTGTTGCTGCAGCTCCTTTCCCAAGAGCAACGGGCGGAAACAGCCCTCGCAGGATTCTCCGGCGCTGCCTGGGCACGATCCCGCTGAAGGAAAGGCCTGGCCGGTGTCATTCCCGGACCCCGGGCACAGCGAGCAGCCGGGGTGTGACCGAGGGAGGAAGAGGAGGAGGAGGAAGGAGGAGGACGTGGTGGTGTGACCAGAAAGTTCAAGCGGTTCCCAGCTGCGGGGCGGCTCCAGGGAGTCGCTGCCGAGGTGGATCCATGCTTTGGGATCGCTCTGCTTTCCCTGGGTGCTTCCAGACCACTGGAAGCTTGGGCTGGGCTGGGCAAAGCTCGGCTTAGCTGTGGCCAGGTTGCTTGGCTTGCTCTGGGCTCTGGGGTTGTGCCGGGAGGCTTTTCCTGGGCTGGCCTGTTTACTGGAGGGCTGTGGGAGGGAGGAATGGAGGTGGCCAGCCCGGGAGCGAGGCATCCTGTTTATCCTCCTGAAATAGCTCTCCTTGGCCGGCTGGCGATGGGGAAGGGGCAGGAGGCTGGAAACGCCTCTCCCTGCCTGCTGCCACCCTGAAACGAGGCCACCCCCAGCCTGGCACACCCGGGGGGGGACACCAGGGAGTCCTGCCCCCCTCGCTTAGGGGCCCAGCACCCTCCTGTTGGGGCAGGGGTGTGGGTGCTGCCGTGCCAAACCAAGCTCTGCTGAAGACAAACACTCCACACGAGGCCAAAGAACATCAACTGGCATCCAGGTGCCCCACCTGCATCTGTCCCAGCACCCACAGCAGCCAGGCTGGATGGGGCTGGGATCCCCCCTGGGCTGGGCTCTGCCTCCAGAAATGCCCTCAGTGCATCAGCCTTTTCCATCTTAGCACCCCTGCAAGTCATTTCGAAGGGAAAATAACTCCAAAGCTGAAATATTTCCCTTTTCCTCTCCGTGATGCCCCATAAGAAGGTTTTCCCCTTGGCAGAGGGCTTGTTTGCAGTTTGTTTCTCTGGCCAAAATGGTGTTGAAATCAAGGGATTCTCGTGGGAAATTTATCTACAGCAAAATCTCATTTCCAATAGAAAATTGTTCCACTGGAGGCTTTTAAACACTTTCCCCCACGCTGATCCCCGAGGAGTCTGGCTCTGAATTCATTTGAAAGTCTGCCTTAGTGGGCTGATGGTATTTGAAAGGTGGTGAAAATGCATCCACCCCCTTCAAATTGAAAATAAATGTGAACATCTACCCGTGCAAATGACTTCATTATTAGAAAGCAAGCTCCGTCCCTTTAAAAAAAGCAATATATGGAGTATTATTTAGGCAGTGCACACACAGTCCTGCTAAATAGACCAAGTAAATGGTATAAAAGCCTTATTTTTGAAAAATCAATCCACGTAAGCACTGGAGCATTACACACTGAGTCATTACCTGCCTCTTTTACCCACTGATGTGTTTGTTAAATAAATAACAAAATAAAACCTTAATTAAAAGGTAAAAAATAGCCAGCATTGATATTGTTGATTTGCAGACAGGAAGGGTTTGTTTGTGGCGTGCAGAAATAGCGTGTCAACAGAGACTGGAGAGTGTACCACAGACACAGAGGCTGTTTTTGGGGCTCCCAAAACCACCTGAAGATGAGCACGATGTCCTGGCACTGTCAGTGCCAAGCGGTGACACAGAGCTGAATTTTTGGCACACACTGGCTGGTGGCAGAGACAGACTCAGCTGCTAAATCATAGAATCCTAGAATTAACTGGGTTGGAAAAGATCTCCGAGATCATGGAGTCCAACCTGTGACCCAACCCCACCTTGTCACCCAGACCATGGCACTGATGCCACATCCAGGCTCTGCTCAAACACCTCCAGGCCAGGCTGAGCCCCCCCAGCTCCCTCAGCCTCTCCTCACAGCACTTGTGCTCCAGACCCTTCCCCAGCCTCGTTGCCCTTCTCTGGACCTGCTCCAGCCCCTCCATGTCCTTCCTGAGCTGAGGGGCCAGAGCTGGGCACAGCACTCCAGGGGTGGCCTCCCCAGTGCCCAGCACAGGGGCAGAATCCCCTCCCTGCTCCTGCTGCCACACTGTTCCTGATCCAGGCCAGGATCCATTGGCCTTGTTGGCCACCTGAGCACTCTGGCTCATGTTCAGCTGCTGTCAATCCCCACTCCCAGCTCCCTTCCTGCCTGGCTGCTCTCCAGCCACTCTGTCTCAGCCCGTGGGGCTGCAGGGGGTTGTTGTGGTCACAGTGCAGGACCCGGCCTGGTTGAACCTCATCCCACTGGAATCAGCCCAACCCTCCAGTTCGTCCAGGTCCCTCTGCAGAGCCCTCCTGCTTTCCAGCAGATCAACGTTCTCCCCAGCTTGGTGTCATAAAGCTTGGGAAGGGGGGATAAAGCAGTTGTCTGAAGGGTTTTGTCATATTTTGGAGGCTCAAAGCTCAGAGTCTGAGCACAGTTTGGTGCATTCCCATGTGGTCACATGCAGAGGGGATTGTCCCTGACATGGTCCTAGTGCGTTTCCCTCATCCCTGCTGTCCCAATGGAGGTGATGTGGATGGGAATGCTTCATCCTTCCTCTCCTGCTGCCAGTTTTTGGGAGCAAAGCCCAGCCTGACCCTGCTCAAGCACTGAGCCCGTTTGCTGTGGCAGGACAAGGGGTGCAGACACATCCCCCTGATGCTCTCCTGTCTCCATCCTCCCTGACGATGCTTTTAAATCCATCCCCCTTTGCAAGCTCAGTCTTTTGGCTCAGGGACAGGCAGCAGCACTTGCCCACCAACTCAGGCAGATCCCTGCTCCCCTTCCCTGCATCCCTCTGTGAAGGTTCCAGGCAATTCCACCCGGTTCAGGAGCCCTGAGCAGAGGGAAAACAAAACAGCAGCTCCTGCACCACAAGTGTTGCCCAAATGGGTTTATCACCCCCTACCCCACGTGCGAGGGCTGTGAGGGACCAGCACAGGCATCCCTCCTGTTAGAGGCTGTGCAGCATCAGAGTTGTACAGAACTGCAGTGTGATAAAGTCTAATCATCCCATCTCATTACATCTCACTGAACATATGGAAATCATGCTTATCTGCCTGGAGCTGCCCGAATTATCCCAGCTTCCAACTGCAGGATTTCCCTCTGAATAGAGCCGAGGAGAATAAAGACTCTCGTGGTTTCAGGCAGCTCCTGGGATGGTGGTGACGGCAGCAGTGAGCTGAGACAGTTCCCAAATCGGTAAAGCCCTCAATGCCTGGGGATGGTACACTAGTCCATCATGGTGAGCAAAGTGCTCCACATCTGTCCTTCACCCTCCCAGGGACCCAGAACCTCTCCTGGATGATCCTGATGCCCCAATCCATGGCCGTGAGGAAGAATTTTTAACAAAAAAAGTTGATTATTTGGGATATTTTTTATGCTCACTGCAGTCCAACCAAGCCTGCCAGGCTCTTTGTGCTCAGCTCTCTGCCCTCCTGCCTCCTCGACTGATCTCCCTGGATTGGGTGCCCGTGGGGAGGATCCTCTTGGCTTTTCCATGAAGTCATTACCACAGTGTAAAATCTGACCTCTCAGCAGCAGAGGTGGTTGCTGCACCTGCAGAGCACCCAGGACAGGCTGTTCCCAATCCCTCACTGCCTCCAGGACCTGCCAAATTCCTGCAACCCCCAAACACGGGAGCACATTGCAGGATAAAGCTTCCAGCCCGGGAAATGTTTATTTCTCTCTCACCAGCACAAGGAGCAATCAGTGGAGTTTTCCTTTCACTTACAATGACCCTGGACAAGGATCTGTTTCCAGCTCAGCCGGCTCACCGGGAAACCCGATCGCTGTGGGTGCTCGGGAGGGGGCGGCTCGGGATGTCCCTTGCAGCGGGGCTCAAGTCCCACCCAGAGCGGGACAGCCAAGTACAAACCCACCCGGGGTCACCTCTGAGCCCTTGGAGGTGTCTAAGGTGTGTCTTTATTAAGGGACCTGCTGAGGTGGGGTCAGAGACAACCGGGGTTGGGAAGAAGGGAGAAGCTCCCGGCAAACAAGGGGGGAAGGTGTCCTCCTGCGCCGGGGGCTGCTCGCCGTCACTAAAATTAGTCTTGGTGCAATTAACAGCTGCACAATTGCAGCAATAAAACTCCCCGCTGCTGATAAAGGCGAGGGCAGCTCTGCCCAGCCCCGCGAGCGGTGGTGCCGTGCCCGCGGGCTGCTGCACCCTCCGTCCCGCTGACTGCAGCGCTCGCTCCCAGATAACAGCGTGATTAAGCAGTGCTGAATCAGGCCTGCCTCGACCGGCTTCTGCTGAATCAGGGGCAGGATCCACCGGCTCCAGCTCCAACCCCAGCTCCT